TCGAGGCTGTGGTGGTTGGGAGCGGCCACTGCACTCCAGTCTGGGCGACAGAGTGAGACTTCAACTCAAAAAAAAAAAAATAAGTATTTGCCCATCTATTTTATCACAGAAGCATCTCTTATCTTTTGTTTCCCTGTTATATGCTTTGCAATCTTATCCATTTTTGGGTGACTGTTACCCTGGGAAAGGAGGTGGCTGAGAACTAGTTTTCCTGACAACTCATCAAAGTATAAACTTAACTGGGGGAAAAAGCAGCACTTTCACTCTAGGTACCAAGCTGGCTTTTCACATGAGGGTAATAGTCACCATGGCGAGGTCAATAGTTTCTAACAGCTAGAAATACTTAGAGGCTATGTCTTCAAACGTGACAACTGACATTTGAATCTGTTAGCTTGAAGAGTTAAATAATTTGTGTGTTCCATGGTCCTACAGAAAGCAGCATTATAGCAAGTCAGGCGACATCTTTCACACAGTGCTCAAGATGTGCAGAGGATACTTCAGTGTAGTCTTATAATGTGGCAATTGTTAGATTACAACAATTAATAATTTTTAATGTACACTTAGGATTATATTAGGGATTATGTGGGATAGCCACGGTAAGTAGCCCTTCTTTCTGAGGGACTCACTATCACACGGGGGGAGAAATGTTTACCCGACATTCCAGGGTATTTTTAAAAATCAAAATCTCAATAAATAAAAATTAAGAAGGGAAGGAAGGCTCTTGTTATCTAGCAGATGGGAAAGGAATGGAAGCTCCTGAGAGTTTATCCTGAATCATGGTCCCCAGTAGCGCAGCACACATCTCCTTGAGAGACGCCTTCCACTGTGCCCAGGGCTCTGGCCTTAATTTGCTCCAAGGATCCCAAGCCTGAGTACTTTTCAAAAAGCAGATAATCCTCTCACCGATTAGGTACCTCACAGAGCAAACTAAGGCCACACACACCACGGAACGTACGAGGCTGCAAGAGTTGGGGGAAGGCAGTTTGTTCCATACTCAAGACTACTCGGTATCTGCTAGAATCTGGGGAAATGTCTGAGGAAAGCCAACAGTCCCTGGGGCTGTCCCACCCATGGACACTTCCTGGTAGGTAGTAGTGACACACTGCCACTTAACCCCTCTGTGCAGTACTTCAGCTATATGCCATTTAATATACCCTCATACCTGGAAGGTATCACTATACCACTTTTGAGGTGACAGAATTGAGGCTTAAAGAGGTTATAAAATCGGCCCCAGGTAAGAACAGAGCTTGAACTCAAGATCACCTTATTTTAAGGTTCTGCCTTGATTTTCAAGGGTATCTGTCTCATCCTGGTTGTGCTAAACAGTAAAGGACCCGGCTCCACACAGAAATGGCCAGAGGCGCTGTACTTTGGGTATCTGTCAGGGAGTGTAGTCTACACTCAGTGTCCCTCCAGAATTATCCAAAGCTAAGAAACGAAATTCATGGAAGATGGAAGGGTATGCAGTCTGATCATCTACCCAGACACCTAAAGCCAGGATTGTCAGTGAGTTATGAGCACCCCGGACCCCAGGAACATTGCTTTGCTAAAATGTACTTGGGGCAGGTTGCTGTCAATCAGCATGTATAGTCATGGTCAGCCCTTTGAAAAAGCCCTTGTCTAATCTGCTATGAGCATTTTATAAGATAATGAAAGTAGAGTGACTCATCACTTACCCAAGGATATATTCACAGAGAAGTCTACAGTAATCGCTGTGGGAACTGGTGATTAGCACAAGAATTTTCCCAGCATCCTTTAGCTGCCGAAGCCACTTTTTTACAGATTCAGGACAACTGTGTAAATATCTGCCTGGATCTCTTTTTATTTCTGGGAAATATATTCCACAGTTTTCTGAAAAATAAAATATCAAAGAGATTTTTCTTTTTAAAAACTGTTTGACTCAGTGTATTTTCAGACAAGTTACTCTCTTTCAGAGCTATATATAAAACTAAAAAGGATAAAGACTAGGTTTGAAAAATTGCTTTTTAAAAATATATTTTGTTCTTTACTTGAAAACATAATGATGGTCAAAAATGTCAGTTGAAAATACTGGCTGGCTATTTAACAAGAACTGATAAACTTGTTAAAACAGATAACATGAGAATATATAAATCAGTACTTTCAAACCAGAAAAAAAATTACTGCATTTGAAATATCAATTGTTTAATAAATATTCTTTTAATCATTCAGTACATATTTGCTGAATAAAGATAAGAAAGAGATAAGCATTTGCACATGCACCTCTTCACATATATCTTTGGCATGAAGCAGTCGAGCAGGACCCCAGGTTCCTCGGAGTCACAGCAGTGTTGCTTCACAAATAACCCACACTAGAAGGGCCCATTAACAGCCTCTGGGAAATGCTGAGATGTTAAGGGGGGAAAAGCAAAGAAAACCAGCCAGAACTGGCCAAAAGAGAAGAGGGCAGGGCTTGGATCCCTGACCAGGGCCTGCTGGCTCTGCCTCTTCAGAGAGGCCAAGGGGTCAGGCTGAGCGTAAAGCAGATGGCAGCTAACGTCCCCACACATCCTGGCCATACTTACCCACAGTGCTCGGCACAGTGCCTTAAAGTTGTGGGTACTTAGCAGACAATTGCAGATTTGGTTGAAATGCAACTGGATTCATAAAGCCCTTTAGAAATACTGTTCTCTGAGCATGACAGAATTAATAAGCAGATAAAGAGAACCCAAGCTCTTACTTTCTCTAACTGCTGGGAAAAGGACACATGGCATAGACAAAACAATAGGGGAAGGAGCTTGTGTGGACTGTTGTACTCTGCAGTAACTATGTATGGGATCCATCTGTTACTCTGTCCAGGGCCTGCCCTTGAAACACCTGAAATGGAAGGCATATTTCAAGAACATCAGGACCTCAGGACAGAAGAGTCTTTAAGTGAAACAAACAGAATCAGAAATGGTGGCAAATACTGCTTTTTGCCTGCCCAAACCCATCCCCTTCTCTGCTGGAGAGTGTGCTGGTGCTGTCTGTGGTTCCACTGTCCTCTGTGTGGCTAAGACAGGAACTGAGTTCCATCTGTTCACACCTATCGTGGGAATTTTCTGCCCCTGCTAAGAAGTGACTTGTTCAGGAAGTGCTGGGACTGAAGAGGGCTCTGCTGTGAACTTCTGGAGCAGTTCACACCATGGGAACAAGGGAACCTGCTAAAAATTTCTCCTGTCCCCTTTCTACTACAGGGCTTTGCCATGACTGTAAGACCTACTGAGACCTGTGCAGTCATCTTCAAATAAAGCTCAAGTCTGACACACCAAGGATTGCAGAGTGTAAGTCCAACAGGAACCGAGTCCCTGATGACCTTGCTGGGTTGCAATTAAGTTATGACCTACCTACCCCCTGGGAGGACCAACAACCTTGGGACAATTTCGGTCCTGTGAACCTCAGTCCCTGATGATCTTGATGGGTTCTCATTAAATCATGACCTACCCACCACTGGGAGGAACACTCACCTTAGGACAACTTCTGGTCCTGTGAAATAACTCAACTTAATAATAACTTAAACATTAAGGATATTTATTATTTGCAATCTGAAGCGTCTTGATGCAGAAAATAATACAATGCAAGATGTCATTAAAAACAAAAAACAAAAGAAGGATTATGTTACAATATGAGAATGCTTGGACATCAGGAGACCAAGGAGAAAAACAAAGTTAGTGCTTACTGTATTCTGTCCTGCTGAAAGTTTTGTGCATAAATCTCTAGGATATCTTAATATCCCAGAAGCTATATAATCGCCCTTAAAAAATTAAGACATATTTTCTGTTTTCTAGGGAAGAGAGGGTACCATAAAAAAAAAATTTAAGCCCAGATGCAGTGGTTCACACCTGTACTCCTAGCATTTTGGGAGGCCGAGGTGAGAGGACTGTCAGAGTCCAGGGGTTTGAGACCAGCTGAGGCAACCTGGCGAGACCTCATCTCTAGAAGAAATAAAAAAAATTATCCAGGCATGGCGGCACATGTCTGTAGTCCCAGATACTTGGAAGGCTGAGGTGGAAGGATTGCCTGAGTCCAGTGGGTCAAGGCACTCTAGCTTGGGTGACAGAGTGAGACAATACTAATACTAATACTAACATTAATAGCAATACTACTACTACTACTACTACCAATAATTATTATTTAAGAAAGATATAATAATAATGCAAGATGGCCAAGAGCAGAACAGCCGGATGAGTGGTGACCAGCAAAGCAATTTCAGAGGCTGCGTCTCCCTCAGAGGTTTATATATATCCAAGGGAGATTATTTCACTCAGAAAAACAAGAAAAATTTTGTGAGGCGTAAAACAAAAGATTTATAGTATGTCAAGCAAAAACATTTACAGACTCAAACTTCGGTATTCAGAAAAGAACTGCTTGAGGCAAGGCTATTTTTTTTAGCTCTATGTGCTTAGTGCCATCTAGTGATCAAAATATAAATTACATTAAAAAGCTACTCCTAACATTTCCAAAGGAATAAAAAAAAAAGTAAATACATCTAATCTACCATTATCTTAAATTTCTTACCTAGATTAATTTTTATTAGTATCTCCTAATTAGTAAGACCTAGTTCAAAAGATTGAAAACATAATAGTTTAATTGGGAAAAATTACTCTGGGAAGTAATCAATAGAGATGTCTTTGATTTGTTCATAAGCCAGACTGAAATGAGCAAACTGCAAAAGACAAGTTCTATACAAATACACCCACTGGTAGATATAAGTTGCTCTTACTAAATAAAATCACTGGCTGTCAGTGGAGAACATATTTTCATTCTCTCGTAACTTCAAATCATTAAAGGAGTAGGTGATATAATTATACAAACAGATACTCTATTGAAATAAATCAAGCTGTGAAACCAAAGGGAAAAGTTATATTAAACATATTACAATTATATAAACAGATATACAAATTATACAAACAGATATACAATTATGCAAAGAGATATACAATTATAGAAATAGATACTTTTTGTTGAAATAAATCAAGCTGTTAAACCAAAGGAAAAGTTATATTAAACATATTACACTGAATTAGAATTGTCTATTAAATCACACCCCAAAGAGATTGCAAACGTTTAAAGGCAAGACATGTATCTTTCTGCTTGGCATGAGACAGGCATTCAAGGTATGATTACTTCACTTAATGCAGTAACAGGAACGTTTACATTTCCCCGCATTCAAAGTAATAATACAATTTGTAATAGTTAGCCAAACGGTGAGTGACAAAAACTGTTGTTCATGAACTATCAAGGTCATCAAGGTCATCCTGTCTAAAGTACTCTCCCACTTTGCCCTTGTTGGGGAAAAACATCAGGATTAATTATGAGACTAACAGATTAACACTGATTGAACAAAACAGGGAATTAATCCTAAGGGGAAGTGATGGCATTGTTTGCTCTTAACTCACAAAGTAGCCTGCATTGTCACTTAACTGCTAAAGTTTATGTGGAATTTTATTTTGCTGCCATTTATGTTACTCACTTTCCTGGCCTTTCCACCCCTCTCATGTTCTTAGACGCTGGCATTTTCTCTGTTCAGGTGAGATTAAAAGGAATTATTCACGTATTTATTTATTTATTTTAGAAATAACAGCAAATATAGAAAGAATAGTGGAGTGTTGCCATGGTCTGAGATGCCTGAACACATGGAACAGGATTCAGGGACCTCTCATGTTAAAAACAAAACAAAACCAACCAAAAAATCACAACTTGAATATTAAAAATACTTTTTTAGTTTAACAAACATTTGTGCCACATCACTGTTTCTATCATCACTGAATGAATATTTTGCCTGCTAAACTGCATCCCTGTTGCTGTGATTTGTGGCTGGGGTTTTCCATCTGGTCAGGACAGGGGAAGTGGGGGGCAGTGAGAGGTGCTGGGTGCCCACAACCCTACCTCCGCCTCTAACTAAAGGCTGTGTTGTTTTCTTGCAGAATATAATTTAGCAGAGATTCGAATATTTACAGTCTTTACCAGTTACACAAGAACATGCCAATGAACAAGTAAAATGTTTAGCTATGAATTGTTTAAATGCAATTGCTGTAGAGATGATGTAATTCGTTTTCTGAATAAAATATAAAATATTTTCTTGGCTAAAAGATACTGAAATATTTTTTGGAAGACAAAGGAGGTAAATTAATTTTTTTATTCATAGGACAAAGGATAAAATGGAAATGTATTAAAACAGATTTCCTGTTTTATAACAGATAGATATATGGTTTATATCAAATCTTTTATTTGTAAATAAAAAATCTAAACTATCTAGATTGTGTAAAGTGAAAATCAATATGAGAAATATAATGCTGAGAAAGAATTCCAAATAAAAACTGGGAAATAAAGGATATAATGTGTTGAAAAACATAACTTATAAAACTTACATTTTGACAATACCTGACTTCTAGCTTTATAATTTAATTCACATATCTCTCCTTTGCCACAAAGATTCTGATTTAATTGCTCTGGGCTAGGGCCAAACAAGTGATTTTTTTTAAGGCTCCTCAAGTAATTGTAATGAACCCCTAGGATTAAGAATTATTGCTCTAAAATATAAGGACTAGGACTCTATGATCAGTGTATCCTGTCTGCTTCACTGGAAATCCCAGGCTCTCAGAGGACTGGAATTTCTTAATTTTATAGTATCTTCATCACTTAACACGTAGCCTTAAAGATACCCGGCAACCAACAACTATTAACTGCTGCTGATTATCCTAAGGGTCACTGTGGTTGATACACTTTACAATGTTTACACTTATTCTATGCCAATTAAGCATGGCATTGTAGATTTGGTTAAGAATTCTCATTACAGAATGATGGATTTCATGCTTATTGGAGAATTCCTGGGGGGGGGGGGTGACATGAAA